GCAGCTGGCCCCACAAAGGTTTATCAGACAGAAAGAAGCAGGAAGAAAAGCAGCAAGAAGAAGCAGAAGGAAGAAAGAGAGAAGAAGCAGAGAAAAAAAGGAGGCAAGGAACTTCCTAAAAGAGCTGTAACACAGGTCAAGGACTGTAACACTGAAGATGGCAAAAGACAGCAGCAGCACCTACAGAGGGAGAGTGCTGAGCGCCTTCGGGCAGCAGGCTTCCTGGTGGAGTAGGGTACCTCCAGGTACTTATGTGCAGAGCTAAAGAGTTTTGTAACGCTTGCAGGGCAGAAGCCTGCCCTCAGGGGGCCAAGAGGAGGCCTGCACTGCCCAGAGGAGCTGAGAGAGCTGTCCTGCACTGAAGAAGGGAGATTTTGCTTCCTGATCCTGATCCTGAGTTGTTGCCTCTTGATCCTGATCCCAAGATGTACACTGTTCTTTAATAAACCACTTAACTGTAAGTATAGTCTGTGAGTTCTGTGTGGCCGTTGCAATGGATTATCGATCCCAGAAGAGAAGTAGAGTGCCATGGGAGGGACAGCTGGTGTCAGAATTGGTAATAATTTTGGACAGTGGAGCTGTGTCTGACTTCCACCTCATGGAACTCAGCTTTGGGCAGATCCTGCTCATTATCCTCCCTGAAGTTAGACAGGTTCTGATGACCCTATTATTACTGCTACCTCCACCATTTTACAGAAGAAGAACAAATACAAGGAGTGAGATAATGAGCTAGCAACAGGTTTGCAACAAATGAAGCTGATTTTTCAGTGTTATGGGATGTCTTTGAAGAGCCCACATGAAATTACTGTGTCTTGGAAGTGTTGAGGAAGGGTGGCATGGAGGAAGGGTGAGTAATGTATCTGCTGGTTTCCTCCCACCTCCTCTCTCCTGTTGATCAAAATCCATCCCATGTACTGAGTTCCTGTTAAAGGTGATGAAAAACAAAAATGGAAATGGATAGTGATGATGGCTGCACAACATGGCAAACATAATTAATGGCATTGAATTATACACGTAAAATTGGTTGAAGTGGAAATTTAAAAATTTTTTTTATTGTGCTTTAGGTGAAAGTTTACAGCACAAGTTAGTTTCGCATTCAAAAATTTATACACAAATTGTTTTGTGACATTGGTTGTAATCATTTAAATTAAAACTGCTATTTTAATGGAAGCTATTTTCTTCTTCCTCACTATCTGCATCCCTTCTCTGCTTCATTTATATAATCCTAACATCCTTCAGTGCATCAATCTATTCTTGAGATGGTCTCCACAATCAAGTGGAATATACTCAAGATTGTATTTTGGCTCTCGTAGACTTGTTTTAATTTTCTTCAGCTTCAACTTGAACTTGCATGTGAGCAATTGATGTTCTGTTCCACAGTCAACCCCTGGCCTTGTTCTTACTGATGATACTGAGCTTTTCCATCGTCTCTTTCCACAGACATAGTTGATTTGATTCCTGTATTTTCCAACTGGTGAGGTCTACATGTATAGTCGCCATTTATGTTGTCAAAAAAAAGGTATTTGCAATGAAGAAGTCGTTGGTCTTGCAAAATTCTATCATGCAATCTCTGGTGAAGAAAATTAAAACAAGTCCACGAGAGCCAAAATATGACCTTGAGTATATCCCACTGAATTTAGAGACCATCTCAAGAATAGATCTGAGTCATTGAACGCTAATGAATGAAGACCAGATAAGTTGTGGGAAGACATCAAGGACATCGTACATGAAAGAAAGCAAAAGGTCATTAAAAAGACAGGAAAGAAAGAAAAGACCAAAATGGGTGTCAGAAGAGACTCTGAAACTTGCTCTTAAACATAGAGTAGCTAACGCAAATGGAAAAAATGATGAAGTAAAAGAGATTCAGAAGATTTCAAAAAGCAGCTCAAGAAGACAAAGTAAAATATTATAATGAAATGTGCAAAGACCTGGAGTTAGAAAACCAAATGAGAAGAACACACTTGGCATTTCTCAAGTTGAAAGAACCGAAGAAAAAATTCAAGTCTCAAGATGCAATTTAGCAGAATTCTGTGGGCAAAATACTGAATGATGCAGGAAGCATCAAAAGAAGATGGAAGGAACTCACAGAGTCACTGTACCAAAAAGAATTGGTCAATGTTCAACCATTTCAGGAGGCAGCATATGATCAAGAACTAACGGTACTGAAGGAGGAAGTCCAAGCTGCACTGAAGGCATTGGTGAAAAACAAGGCCACAGGAATTGACAAAATACCAACTGAGATCTTTCAACAAATGGATGCAATGCTGGAAGTGCTCACTTGTTTATGTCAAGAAATTTGGAAGACAGCTACCTGGCCAACTGATTGGAAGAGATCCATATTTGTGCCTATTCCAAAGAAAGGTGATCAACAGAATGCAGAGATTTTTGAACAATATCATTACTATCACTTGCAAGTAAAATTTTGCTGAAGATCATTCAAAAGTGGTTGCAGCAGTACATCGACCCAGAGCTACCAGAAATTCAAGCCAGATTCAGAAGAGGGCATGGAATGAGGGATATCATTGCTGATGTCAGATGGATCTTGGCTGAAAGCAGAGAATAGCAGAAATATGTTTACCTGTGTTTTATTGACTATGCAAAGGCACTGGAATGTGTGGATCATAACAGATTATAGATAACATTGTGAAGAATGGGAATTTCAGAACATTTAATTGTACTCATGTGGAACCTGTACATAGACCTAGAGTCAGTCATTTGAACAGGCCAAGAGGATACTGCATGGTTTAAAATCAAGAAAGGTGTGCGCCTATGTTCATGGCAACATTGTTCACAATAGCAAAATGATGGAAACCACCTAGATGCCCATCAACAGATGAATGGATAAACAAACTATGGTACATACACACAATGGAGTACTATGCAA